AGCATCGGCAGTTCTTACTATCTCTAATAAACAGATTATCTGTTTTTTGTTTTTGATTGAAAGAAATTTTGATCTAGACAGTGGGGATAACTCCCCGATCATCTTCAAAATAGTGCCATTGGACCTTTTATATTCACCAAGCCATTTAACTTCACATCTTGAAAGGGAAGAAAAGGCAGCAAATCAGAAGAGGGCAGAAAACAGGCAGGTTTGTTTGTTTGTTCATTGGATATGGCTACATCTGGCTAGGCCAGCATTTATCACCTATCCCTAATTTCCATGCAGAAGGTGGTGGTGAATTAAGGGCAAAGTAGATGAAAGAAATGCAGAAGCAGAGGTGGATATTTGAGACAATATTCTCTCAGAAGTAATGAGAGAGATCAATTATTAAACGTCAAAAATCTGTGCCTCCATCAGTTTTGAAGCAGAGTCTTAATGGCCTCAATGTTAACTTTGTTTCTCTCCACAGATGCTATCAATCTGCTGTGTTTCTCCAGCATTTTCTGTTTTTATTTCCAGATTTCTACTGTCTGCACTATTTTACTTTTAAGGTGTGGTGAATAGTTTGGGATGGAGGTGCTTGCAAGCAGCCTGTTACTGTGGTGTAAATTCTTCAAAAAAAATTGCAGATAAGCACAAAATATGCGATTTTAAAAATCAGATCGGCTTATATCAGCCCTCTGATTCTATATCCCCACTAAACCTGAACTGTACGAAGTCTTCAATTCATGCACTATATCACAAATGGTTGTTGAGTTTAATGGAAAATGTCTTGCTGAGTAGCTAACCTTAATGTGCAAAAATATTAGAAAAATGTAGGCATTTCCAGGATTAAGTGACCGGCACTGAATCCAGGGACAAAAGATCACAGTGAATTTGGATGAAAGCCCATCAATCCATTTTGTCTAATTTATTCAGAGTATCAACTCTGCTCTCCTTCAACAGGACAGACAGGCAAAACCTTTATTTTGGCAGCTCTGACAACTTAGTATCCTCAACGTGGCACTGGGTTGCCTAGAATGTATTTAGGACCAGGAGTCAGAATTGGAACTCTAATCTTATGACCCAGAGTTTGAGTGCTACCCACTGAGCCAAGCTGACATTCCAGTTAAACAAAAGTTTGGTGCAGCAGGCAATAATTTTGTCGGCGGGTCAGCATGTGTTATGCGAGAGCCATTTGCAAAGTATTTTCAACCTGACAGCTCCTGTGCATTTATTTCCTTCTGTAAACCTCTATTAAATAGCAAGTGCTAGAAATAATACTGGAAACACCAAGCAGTCAGTCTGTTTTCTGTAGGGAGAACAGACAAGTTGCATTTCCATTATAGTCACTTGGTGGCTGGGTCATGAGAGTTTTGATGATACAATAAGTTTGTATTAGTTTTGGGAAATCGATCCACCAGGGGCAGCATTTACAAAAATTGACACTGGCATATTATTTTGGATACTTCTGAGTCTTGGACTTCTCCGTGTATTTAATTCTATTTGTATCCAGCATGTGAACTTTGATCTTATACTCAAAACCTGTCGAAAGAATTATCCACATCCAGAGGTGTCCAGTGTTTGGGTCAGAGAAGGAAATGACTGGTACGCTCAAGGAGCCATCATTCCAGCTTGTGTACAAATTTAACACTCACTTCTCAGGACAGCACTTTGTGCATGACAGCTGGCCTCAGTGGCACAACAGAGGATAAGGCAATGTTCTTACTCCTGAACGCAACCAAAACCAAAATACTGCAGATGCTGGGCATCTGATGTAAAATGAAAAATAGTATCTGTAAATGAACAGCTTGCCAGACTGCCTGTCTGAGGAAGAAATTAGTCTGTCTGTTCCCTGCCTTGAAGTTGGCAAATTTCAGAAATTTTCAGCAATTTTTTTTAAATGAAGGGTAACAGCAAGGAAAGTTCATCGGGAAAGAAATGGGAAAATCTTTTGAGTTGATACAAGAGACCATTAAATGATATTACTGGTATTAGGAGGAGTGAGAAAAGAGGCCTAATGAGAGAAATAAAAGAGGGGTATATGACAGTGAGCATTGTTGAAGGGGTTTCCAAGAAAAAAAAATGGAATAGTAGTGTATGTCATTTTGGATACTGGACACGATCAAATTAGGAACACACTCTTTACTGCATCGTGTGGGGACACTGGTATAGACAGAAATGTGATTAGATTGTGCTGTGGCATGTGGGGATAATGGAGAAGGAGAGAACTAGTATTGGGTTCTGTTAGTGTGCTATCTGTGATTTATAGCTTGCTGACGTCAGGCAAGGGAATGACACTGCAGGATTCAAGGAAGAACTGTACTGCCATATGCAGTGTTGCAGCAATGCTTGCAATCAGCATAAAGCAGTCTTTGATATGAGTTGTAGTAGGGAACTGGGGAAATGCAAATTTTATACTTTCTCTCCAAGGAAAAGGCAAGAGATATTCTTGGTAGCAATCAGTTTAACATCGGAAAGTGGGAAGTCTATTGGACACAATTTTTAAGGATGTAATGAGTGGCACAGTGGCTCAGTGGTTAACACTATTGCCTCAGCAACAGGGACCCTGGTTTGATTCCACCCTCAGGCAATTGTGCAAACTCCCACACACAGTGGAAGAGTATCTGTCCATCCGTCCCCGCCCCGCCCCCACTGGCCATGGGAAATGCAGGGTTACAGGGATAGGGAAGAGGGTTGGAGTAGACTCGATGGGCCAAATGGCATGGATTTCGTGATTCAATAACTGTATTGCTACCTTTGTATAATTAATTGTTGGAGAAGCATTGGGTTAAATGGAAGTGACTATGGATTTGTTAAAAGTAAATTGTATCTAATTTACACGATTGAATTATTTGGAGTAACAGAAGATTAAAGATGGTAATGAAGATTTTGTATATTTGGAATTTTAAGACATTTGATAAAATATCTTAACAGAATTATTCAAAAAATAGAAGTATGTGGAATAGTAATGTGGCTGGTTGAATATATAATTATCTATGGTATAGAAAGCAGAGAGTTGATTTTTTTTTTTACTAAAAGGGAAATATACAATGTGGTCCACTTATTTGGTATGTGGATATACCTACAAGAGAAGGAGCAAAACTTGACCTACTCTTGGGAAATAACGCAGGGCAGGTAACTGAGGTGTCAGTCGGGGAGCACTTTGGGGCCGGTGACCGTAATTCTATTTGCTTTAAAATAGTGATGGATAAAGGATACATCTGATCTAAAAGTTCTAAATTGGAGGAAGACCAATTTTGACAGTATAAGGCGAGAACTTTCAAAAGTTGACTGGGGGTGGATATTTGCGGGTAACAGGATGGCTGGAAATGGGAAGCATTCAAAAATGAGAGTCCAGAGACAGTGTTTCTGTTAGGGTGAAGGGCAAGGCCAGTAGGAGTAGGGAATGCTGGATGACTACAGAAATTGAGGTTTCCAAGAAAAAGAAGGGAGCATATGTCAGAGATAGACAGTAGGGATCGAGTGAATCCCTAGAAGAGCTTAATGGCAGTGGGAGTATACTTAAGAGGGAAATCAGAGGGCAAAAAGGGGACATAGCTTTGGAAAATAGGGTTAAGGAGAATCCAAAGGGATTCTACAAATACATTAAGCACAAAAGAGTAACTAGGGATCGAATAGGGCCCCTTAAAGTTCAGCAAGGCCACCTATGCATGGAACTGCAGGAAATGTGGGAGATACTGAATGAGTATTTTGCATCAGTGTTTACTGTGGAGAAGGATATGGAAGCTAGAGAACTTGAAGAAATAAATAGCAACATCTTGAAAAATGTCCATATTGCAGAGAAGGTGGTGCTGGATGTGTTAAAACGCATAAAGGTGAAAAATCTCCAGGACCTGATCAGGTGTACCCTAGAACTTTGTGGGAGCTTAGGGAAGTGATTGCTGGGCCACTTGCTGAGATATTTGTAACATCAATAGTCATGGGTAAGGTGCCGGAAGACTGGAGGTTGGCTAACGTGGTGCCACTATTTAAGAAAGGTGGAAAGGAAAAGCCAGGGAACTATAGACTGGTGAGCCTGTCATCAGCAGTAGACCAGTTGTTGGAGGGATCCTGAGGGGCAGGATTTGCGTGTTTGGAAAGGCAAGGACTGACTAGGGGTAGTCAACGTGGCTTTGTGCATGAGAAATTGTGTCTCATTAATTGATTAATTCTTCAAAAGATTCAATGAAGAGGAGTGAATTGACTGGGGCTATATTCCTTGGAGCGTTGGAGACTGAGGGGTGACCTTATAGAAGCTTATAAAATCATGAGGGGCATCGACAGGGTGAGTAGCTGAGGTCTTTTCCTTGGAGTAGGGAAGTCCAAAACCAGAGAGCATAGGTTGAAGGTGAGAAGGGAAAGATCTAAAAGGGACCTAAGGGGCAACTTCACATGGAAGGTATGGAATGCACTGCCAGAGGAAGTGGTGGACACAGGTACTATTACAACATTTATAAGGTATCTGGATGGGTACATGAATAGGAAGGGTTTAGAGGGATATGGGCCAAATGATGGCAAATGGGACTAGATTTATATTGGATGTCTGGTCAGCATGGATGAGTTGGACTGAAGGGTCTGTTTCCATGCTGTACAGCTTCGACTAAATTACTTTGTGTTGGGCATTTAGAAATTTGAAAGTCAGATAAACCTGACAGTGTTGCATACAGTGAGCAAAATAGTTGCTGCTTCAGGAGGACATAGACTAGTGAACGGGGTAGGCATGGCACAGGTGTAAATTAAGATAAATGAAAGTGGTATGCACTTTGAGAGGAATAACATGGAGAGTTGACATAATCTAAATAATGCTTTTTTAAAATCCCTAGCTCCTGTTTCAAATATCAGAGATAACTGCTCCCACTCATATGATTTATTGAAACAACTTAAATACTATATTAGGTTGCCCACCAGCTTTTTCTGTGCCAAGTAGAATAATCCTAACTTTTCCAAACTCTGGGGCAGCACGGTGGCTGAGTGGGTTAGCACTGCTGCCCCAGCACCAAGGACCTGGGTTCCTGAGGGTGATGTTCACAAATCCTTGAGTTTGCAAGCTGATTTGAAGTGATGCTAATGAAAGCATACCAGATACTTTGTCAGGGGCTCGGGTGACACAATTGATACGTCCCTATCTCTGGGTCAGAGGTTTGAGTTCAAGTCCCACATGCTCCTGAGTTGTCATAACACACCTGAACAGATCAATTAGAAATATCTACAAGATTCTTCATAAATACTCGGATATACTGTAAATACAAAAAGGAGCCTTTACACGTCATTAGTGTTAACCCTGAGCTGAAATATTTTATACAATTCTAGGTAGGATGTCAAGATTCTTAGGCGGTTACAGAAGATGTTTACCAGGATGATAACCGAGATAAGGGACTTTCAGGTATGTGAAGAATCATAGAATCCCTAGATTGTGGAAGCTGGCCATTTGGCCCTTTGTGTCCACATCGACCCTCCAAAGATCCCACCTAGACCGACCCCTTGCCTTATTCCTGTAACCCCGCATTCCTCGTGGCTAATCCACCTAACCTGCACATTTTTGGACTGTGGGAGCAAAACTGAGCCCCCAGAAGAAACACTCTCAGACATTGGGAGAATGTGCAAACTCCATACATAGAGTCTCCCAAAAGTGGAATCAAACCAAGATCCCTGGCACTGAGGCAGCAGTGCTAACCACTGAGCCACTGTGCTGCCCCAGAGATTAGAAAAGTTAGGATTATTCTCCTTGGCACAGAAAAAGCCAGTGGGCAACCTAACAGTATTTAAGGTGTTTCAATAAATCATATGAGTGAGAGCAGTTATATCTGACAATTGAAGCAGGAGCTAGGGGTTTTAAAATAATTTTTAAAACCAGGAGAAGGGAGATTTAAAATTATTTTGCACAGTAAGTTAAGATCTAGAATCCATGATTTGAAAATGTGGAAGCAGATTCTGCAGGAATAGTTAAAAGCCAGACTTACATCTGAAAAGGGCGAATTTGTAGGATTATGGAGAAAAGGCTGCAAGCATTGGACTAAATTGAACAGCTCTTTCAAAGAAGCTGCATAGAAGCAACAGCTAAAATACCACCTCCCAATGCTGCAAAATTCAATATTTTCTGATCCAACTGTTATTATGCCTAACTATTAAGAACAGGAAGAGGGCATTCATTTAGAAAATGATTGATCTGTACCCTCAACTCCATTTACCTGCCTTTGTTCCATATCCCTTTAAAATGCTAAGCAAATAAATTCACCTTCCTAAGTTAAAATAAACCTGTAATTGAGGTCCCCAGAATCAACAGCATACTCTGTAGGGGAGGGAGATATTCCAGATTCTACCTGTCCTGTGTGAAAGGTTACTTCCTGATTTCACTGTAAACAGCCTAACTCAATTAAGATTCTGTCCCCTCATGTTGCTGTATCTATCAGAGGAAATAATTTCACTGTATCTACTTTAGTAAATTATTTTAACATTTTAAACACCTGAATCAGATCACCTCTCAGTCCTCTATACTCCAAGGGGGGAAATGTCTAATCAATACAAATCAAGATCTCATAATTTACAAAATGAAACATTATTATAATGCTGGTGATTTTTCACTGTTTCCTCTTGAGGCTAATAAGTACCTCCCGAGATGCAATAAAGCTGAATACATCACTCCAGGTGTGGTTTCACCAGGCCTTTTTAATACAACTAAATTATTTCTTTCCAGCCTCCTTGAGATAAATAAAAATGCATTCATCCTTTTAATTTAATTTTGTATTGTACCCGCTTTGAATTTTTGCATTCAGATCTCTTTGCTGTACAGTTCCCGGTTTCTCTTCAAATAGAAGCTGGTCACATTTATTTTTGAATCCAAAATGGATGGCCTTGTTCCTGTCTGTATAATACTGTTTTGTCCATTGACTTAGATTGTAATGCATCGTAGCTTTCTGCCGCCAACTGTACTTTATGCTATTGGAAAACTGGGATGTACAATCTGTAATCATTCCTGCATAATTATATAATGAAAAACTCAACTCATCCTGATAATCTAAGCACTATCTTTTCTCTGTATATCTCATCTCCTCCCTTCTAATCACTGTCCTATTTAAGTAAAATGGCTACTTTCAATTTCTTTGAAACCATTGAGTAGGAAAGGATGGGAGAGGTGGAAGAGGAGGGACACATAACTTATTAGTAACTAAAGGTTCAGCGTAATGGAAGACTTCAATACATTTGCACTTGGATGTGAGTTTTGGCGGAAGATTGCAACTATTACATCCCTAAACAGAAAAGACAGAATTGAAGTGTTGGAGGGAATACGGAAGAGGACAGCAAGGAGGTGATCTTACCTCTATTTGATTGTCACAGGGTTAGGCTTGGATAATTCAGGTCATTTACTTGAAAGAAATATTAGGTCTTTATGCAACTTTTTTGGATAACTATTGAAATACATGATGATTAATACTTAAACATTGACAAAAGATAGGTTAGCTGCCAGACATTTAGTTATTTCCTTTCACTTTGCTGGTCTCAAACAGACTACCAGCAAATGTAACAAATATTGAAAATGCTTTAGGAGATCCTCAGGGAGAACAGTTGGATATGGAAGGTAGGTTTGATCTGGTAAACTACAATATCTAGCAACTTATTTGCCTTTTACAATCTGCAGAGAAACTCCATCAGGTTTTCTTGAAATTAGCCACAATTGTTCTTTTTTTAAATGCCTCCCTTTCTTCCTTCCCAGGATTAGCATTACTAACCTTTGGTTTGTTCATGTGTGAAACATCATCATATTTATTGAAGCTGTTTTTAGAAGTAGCAATATAACAGAAAACACTGGAAGTATTACTTCTGATGTAAGGCCAGCCCCGTTTCTCTCCGAACAGTTGCTGACAGACCTGTTGAGTTTTTTGTATTTTCTGCTCCTCTTAAAGAACATCCTTCTGCAGCATTTTACTTTAAGTCGCAATTGAATAAACACGGAAGAGGCAAAGGAAAGAGCAGAAAAATGAAAAAAGATTGCTCCAGCATGATGGATGGAGTGATCTTGCGAACCCAAAATTCTTTCAGACATAGTAGGAACTGCAGATGCTCTAGAATCTGAGATAACAAGGTGTAAAACTGGATGAACACAGCAGGCCAAGCAGCATCAGAGGCGCAAGAAAGCTGATGTTTCGGGCCTAGACCCTTCTTATCAGTTTTGTCGGAAGAAACTATCCAACTAAATTGCCATATTTGTATATCTGTATATAAATATATGCTTTGAAACTATAATCTAGCCATTAATGGTGATCTTTTACCTTGCAGATGTACAGAATGGAAAATCAATAACAAATGGAGTTACAAACGGAATTCATCTCCACAGTAATGGCTTCAGGCTGTCGGAGGCATGGCCGCAAAGCAGGTAAGAGAACATTCTGCTTGGACGTTAGGTTGAGACTGGATGCACCTTTGTACCTGGTTTGAAAACCACCAAGTGCTGAATCTGGGCTAATGGAACAATTGTGGGAGTTGAGTACACTAGAGATATAATCTAATAATCCATGAGACAAACTTTTATTCTTATTGCACCTATCCTTACCTTAGTATTCCACAGACCTGCAGAGCCAACATTGTACTTTTTGAAGTATATTCAGTGTTGTAAAATAGGAAACAGGGAAGTCAATTTTGCGTACAACAAGCATGCTGTCTTCTCCTTGCCCTTCCCTCCCTCTTCCCACTATTCCCCACCATCCATACAGTAAAGTAATAATGACATTTAATATTTTAAATAATATTGATTGGATAAATATTGGTCATCAGCACAAGTTCTTTCGCTCCTCTTAAAGTTAGTGTGATGCATCCACCTGACGGAAGCCATTTTTATACATTTATTCTGCCTTGCCTTAACATCTCATCTGAAACACAGCACCTCCAACAGTTGAGGTCCTCTTCAGTGTTGGAGTGTCATCTGATATCTTTGTACTCCAGAAATGTACTTAAATTCTCCACCCTTCTTACTTAGAGATGGGTGTTAGCAACTGAGTGATGCTGATAAAAGGGACCCTTTAAATCCGGAAGTGGAGTATTGTGGAATGGAGTCCTGAAACCAAGCTGACATTGAGATTCTAGAGATTTGACAAGGCAGAGTTGGTATAATTAAAATATGGGCTAAGGCTATAAGCCTTGGAGAGAAGGTACAGGAGCCAGTGTCTGTCTATCACAATGTACTAGGGCTTTTGTGATACAGTAGTAGTGCCTATTCCTCAGGGCCAGAAGGCCAAGGTTCAAGTCCCTTCTGCTCCAGGACACGCCTTAAAGTTGATTAAAAATTGCTTTATTGCAGGGCAATAATAGATATGAGTGCATTTAACTGCTTTCTTCATTTTATTGGTGTCTCATATGGTTAAATTTCCACACATCTGACAGTATTCAATAAGCATAAATGTGCATAAACAAAAAATACATGATTAAATGCTAAATAGTTCACCAGTTACAGTTTTGGTTTTTAGGAACAATGCCTTTTCAACCGGTTCTTCATTTAATCAAATTATGGCCGATCCATATCAACTCTATCTATGGATATTGCACTGAATCAGTGTTACGGTGCAGCAGGAGGCCATTCAGCCCGTTGTGCCTGCACTGGCTCTTCAAACACTCATTATCAAGTGCCAATCTCCTTTTTCCCTATGCCCTTGCACACTATTTCTCTCCAAATAATCATCCAATGACCTCTTGAATGCTTCAATTGAATCTCCCTCCAGCACATTTCCAGGTAATGCATTCCATAACCTAACTGCCTGCTGAGTGAAAAATATTAATCTCACATCACCCTTGCTTTTGCACATCACATGAAATCATTTTGGAAACTTCTATGAAATCTCCTCTGTGCCATCTGTTCTTCAAAGGAAAACAGCCCCAACTTCTTCAGTCTATCCTTATAACTAAAGTTCCTCATTCCTGGCACCATTTTCTTTTTTGTAAATTGCTTTTGTGTTCACATATTTCCTATAATGTGGTGCCACAACTGTACACATTATTCCAATTGGGGCTTAACAGGTGTCTTGTACAAATTCAACATCATTTCCTTGCTTTTTCACTCTATGCTCCTAGCTTTATTTACTGATCTCTGTTTGTCCTGTCACTTTCGATGATTTGTGCACATACGCACCCAGGTCCAAAGTACATCACCTCACGTATCTCTGCGTTGGATCTCATCTGCCACCTGTCTGCCCACTTCACCAGCTTGTCAGTGTCCTTTTTGGAGTTCTGCACGGTCTCCTCACAGTTTGCAATTCTTCCAACTTTTGTGTCATCGGCAAACTTTGAAATTGTCCCCAGCACACCAAGATTTAGATAATTTAGTATATATATCAGGAAAAGCAAGAAAATGTGAGGAAAGTAATTCCAATCTTAGTTAAATTATTTTTTACATGTTAGAAAGTAAAAAGGCCTCCGTTCCTTCCAATTGCGGGTATTTTCAAGGGCAACCACCTCTCAGTAGAGAAGCTGTTGGAATTTTTATGGGACATGCCTGAAGTACAAAAATCTCATCCTCTCTCAAAAAGCAAGAAATAAAGACTTGCATTTATATGGTACTGACTGAAATCTTGATATCCTGTAGTAAGTACTTTCTGAAGTATAACCTCTTGTGATGTAGGAAACTTAGCAGAAAGTTGTGCATGGCAAGTTTCTGCAAACAGGAATGAGAAATGAACCAGCAATCATTAGTGATCATTGAGGAATAAATATTTCCCCAGAACACCAAAGAATAGCCTTAATTCAGAATGCATGTTGGGAAATTCCGCAATCGTCGACGTGGTTGAAGGCTGAGATCAGTTATTGAACTTTATTATTAATGCTTTTGAAGCTACTTGAAACCTTGAAATTTTGGAAAAAAGACTTTAATGAAGTTAAAACATAGACAAGTTGCATTTTGTCAAAACTTTTTGACTTGTACTCATCAGGTCAGTTTGCAAGAATACCAATAAACTGGAAAACCAACATGTATACTGTATGAGGAGAATGTTGATTGGTCAGTGGATGCTGATTGGCAGAAGTGTTGCCATGGAGAATGTAGTAATTAATGATTATTGACAGTGAGCTATCAGGCTTCGTTTAAAATTAAAACCAAAAGTTAACTGGTCAGGGCAATGTCTTGACCACAATGAGCCAGCACCTGACTTTTTTTTTCCCTATTCATTTGTGGAATGTGGCCATCGCTGGCTGGCCAGCAATTCTTTCCCATCCCTAGTTGCTCTTGAGAAGGTGGTGGTGAGCTGCCTTCTTGAACCACTGCAGTCCTCCTGCTGTGGGTTGACCCACAATGCTATTAGGGAGGGAATTCCAGGATTTTGACCCAACAACAGTGAAGGAACTGCGATAGATTTCCAAGTCGGGATGGTGAGTGACTTGGAGGGGAACTTGGAGGTGGTGGTGCTCCCATATGTCTGATGCCCTTGTCCTGCTAGATGGAAGTGGTCGTGAGTTTGGAAGGTGCTGTCTGAGGATCTTTGAATTTCTGCAGTGCGTCTTGTGTACAGTACACACTGCTGCTACTGTCACTTATTTTGTTGAGTTAAAACAGATACTATGTATGTACATGTATCTGTCTGCAAAGAAAATTACCTGTGTATTAATATATATATATATATAGCTTCCAGGACACACACATGTGCCATGCTGTAAGCCTGACCGACAGTCCTAAATTGGTTATTACTGTAGTTCTTTGCACAGTTGGGATTACCCACAAATATTATCCAATTGCAGAATCACTTCTAATGTTGGATACTGCATTGCAAGTGCGAGCTGGTTCTTTGTGATCCTGTTGAGTGCAAGATTAAAAAGTAAACTTTGACAAAAGGTTTTTTTCAGTAATTCTCAAGTTTTGTACTACCAGACAAATATAGACAATTCAATGGGTCTATTTAGTCATGCTGAATTTTTAATTTTTTTCTATACAGTTTTAAATTTTGTCTGTAAAACTTTGTTACCAAGGCAGAGAAATTATGATTTTTATAAATTGTTTCTGACAGTATTTTGCATTCGGTTGATTCAGAGCCTCCGACATTGGTGTGATAAGAGTGAGGAGGTTTTGCAAGAATATAAATGTCGCCAAACAGAGAAAATGGTACAACTTAAGAGTCTGGCAACATCTGTGGAGATACAAGTATGACTTCTTCAGTCCTGCTGTAAGGAAGAGTCAATTTGAACTTGGAACATTAACTGTTTCTGTCTCTAGAGATGTTACCAAACCTGCTGAGTTTTGCCATGCATTTTGTGTTTATTTCAGATTTCCAATATCAGAAGTATTTTTCTTTATATAAAATGTTGTCATTAGGTATTTTAATGTTGGATATTGATATATAAAGAATAACTCAACTGTGACCTGGGAAGTAAGGTTTGTAAGTAGGATATGCTGAAGTTGCATATGGTTTTATAATCTGTAGACTATTGAAGCAGTGATGAGGTTATTGTGTTTCAGGATGCTGTCCATTGAAATGTTGTCAGGACTGTTGTCTTTTCTGAAATGAATCCCAGAGCTGGCAATCTAATATTTCTCTATAGGGAGAAATGATGTAGGATGGGGGGGCAGGGTAATTGTAGCAACAGTGTTGTCCATCTTACTGTTCCTCAGTGGGACAGTAGAGGGACTGAATATTCTGCTCCTGTTGCTGCCAGTTTTGGGATCGCTTGATCATAGTTGTATTTTAACATTCCTCATTTCCTGACTTATCCTGTTTAAACCTGATTATTCTGGAAATTCAGGCATTAATGCCTGATTGAAGGGCAAGTCTGAAATCTGTTTCATATTAACTGAGAAGTAAAGGCACATTTATAGATTAAATATTGGATGTGGCTCCACTGTATGCTAGGAAGATAAACTGCAAAGATCTACATAGAGATCAGCACTGGGGCCAGTGCTTTTGTTTTTAAATTAATTGTCTGAAGCTGGGGTAAGTTTAGAGACAACACAAATTCAGAAATATAGTAAGCAATGAGGTTAACAGCCATTAAGAGGAGGTAGATAGACTGGCGAAATGGGTGGACGGATAGCAAATGAAATTTGAAGAGGTGTGAAGTGATGCATTTTGGTAGAAACACTGAACTAAATGGTATGTTTTTAAAGATAGTGGGTGCAGAGTCAGATATTCAGGGGTGTATAGGTGCATATTTTTGAAGATGACAGGACAAGCTGAAAAGGTTGGTTTTAAAAAAGGGCAACTTTCTCTTTAATTGACGTACAGTGCAAAAGCAAAACAAAAAGTCTTCATAAAATATATAAAAATACATCCTTATGACTTGATAAAACACTGGTTAGGGCTCACTTGCTGTATTATGGCCACTTCTCGCTATCATGTTTTAGGAAGGATGTCAAGGCCTTGAAGATGTTGCAGAAGAGATTTTATTAGAATGATATAATGGATGGGGGAACATGATTTATATGAAGACACTAGAGAAGCTGAAGCTGTTCTCTTAGATCAGAGATGGTTAAGAGAAGCTTTGTTTGTTTGTCAGTGATTTTGATGGAATAAATCAGGAGACAGTGTTCCTGGTGATGATCAATAACCAGAGGAAACAGACTTAAAAATAACAGAATCAGAACATACATTAATATTTGTTTCCATTTATACACCACAGATTATTGTAGCTTGGAATTCACTCACTGAACACAGGCTTAATAGTACTTTTTTTAAAATTTGAAGTATACTTGAAAATGTTTACAGGGCTTTAGGGATGAATATTCACTGGAGTCAACTGCTTAGCTGTCAAAGAGCAAAGACATCATGTTATGTGGCCTCCTGCTGTAATACATCATTCTGATGATAATGCAAGGCACTGAAATGAAGTGGTTGTAGAACCTGAACTGAAACTGCTTATTTCTCCTGGATTGTCCTGTAAGGACCTTCAGGGAAAGGATTGTTCCCAGCTTCAAATTCCGGGAGAATCCTACATGCAGACTTTATATAGTTCAGAAGTTTTTCTTCCAGTCTGTCTACTGTGGGAATGAAACAAAGTTTCAAAGTCACTTATGTTTTGTGATTCAGATTTGGGACGGTGTGTAATGTTGTACAATATTTAAGGTTCTTGCAAAGATTTGTAGCTTGGGTTGTGGATGAGGTTGTTAACATGCTTGTCGAGCTGACTTGTTTTCGTTCAGACGTTTCGTCACCATGCTAGGTGAAATTATCAGTGGAGCCTCCAATGAAGTGATGTTATCCTACTCCGCTTGGAATTTATACTGTCCAGTCTGTTATGATGAGTTGTCATTTCCCGTTCTGTTCTGTATGAGTTTGTATATGGGGTCCAATTCTATATGTTTGTTGATTGCGTTACGGGTTGAGAACTATACCTCTAGGAATTCCTGTGCGTGTCTATGTTTGGTTTGGACTACTATAGTTACGCTGTGCCAGTTAAACTAATAACCTTCATTGCCCGAGTGTACTGATATTAGGGAAAGTTCGTCATGTCATTTTAGCTGCTAGCTGATGATCATATATTCTGATGGCTAGTTTCCTTCCTGTCTGTCTGATGTAATGTTTGTGGCAGTCCTTGCATGGTATTTTGTAAACCACGTTGGTTCTGCATGTTGTGGGTATGGGGTGTTTAATCCTTGAGTGTTTGTCGTAGTGTGGCTGTGGGCTTGTGTGCTACCATGATTCCTTATGGTCTTAAGAGTCTTGTCAGTTCTGATATGTTGTTGATATAGGACAGTGTGGTCAGTGTGTTAGGGTGTACTGTGTCTTCCTGTTGTCTATTTAGAAGACACCTGCAGATGAAGTTGAGGGGATTAACATTCATAGCGAAGATTTTGTATAGATGCTCTTCCTCCTTCCTGCGTAGTTCTGGTGTGTTGTAGTGAGTGATGGCCGGTTTTAAATAGTGTCCTAACATAGCTTTGTTTGTGGACTTTGGGGTGGTTGCTGTGGAAGTTGAGGATTTGGTCAGTGTGGGTTGCTTTCCTGTATCCCAAGGTTTGGAACTCCCCGTCGGTCATACATTCAACCCTGAGGTCCAGGAACAGAAGCTGATTGTTTTCTTCTTCTCTTGTGAATTTGATCCCGGTGAATAGGTTGTTGATGAGGTGGTCTCTTCTAGTTTGGTGCATTTAATGATGACAAATGTGTTGTCCACATACCGGATCCACAGTTTAGGTTGAATGAGGGGGAGGGTAGTGTGTCCTAGTCTTTGCATGACTGCCTCTGCGATGAGTTCTGAGATGGGTGACCCTATGGGTGTGCCATTGATCTATTTGTATATTTGACCATTAAAAATGAAGTGTGCAGTGAGGCACAAGTCTAGTAGTTTGAGTATGTTGTCATTGCTGACTGAGCTGCTGGTCTGCGTTCCTGTGGCCGTGGGCAACTCTTTTGTGATCGAATTCACGAGAGAAGAAAACAACAATCGGCTTCTGTTTCTGGACATGAGTTGAATGTATGACTGGGGAGTTCCAAACCTCGGTATACAGGAAAGCAACCCACATTGACCAAATCCTCAACTTCAACAGCAACCACCCCAACGTCCACAAAAAAAGCTGTGTTAAGACACTATTTAGACGGCCACTACTCACTGCAACACCCCAGAACTACGCAGGGAAGAGGAAGAGCACCTATACAAAACCTTCGCAACTTCATCCACAGGTGTCTACTAAGTAGACAACAGGAGGACACAGTACACCCTAACACAATGCCCACACTGCCCTACATCAAGAACATATCAGAGCTGACGACGAGACTCCTACGACCACAAGGAATCATGGTAGCACACAAGCCTACAGCCCACAGCCACGCTTTGACAAACACTCAAGGATTAAAGACCCCAGACCCACGACATGCAGAACCAACATAGTTTACAAAATACCATGCAAGGACTGCCACAAACATTACATCGGATAGCCAGGAAGGAAACTAGCCATTAGAATACACAAACATCAGTTAGCAGCTAAAATGATACGACGAACTTTCCCTAATATCAGCACATTCGAACAACGAAGGCCATCAGTTTAGCTGGGACAACTTAACCATAGTAGCCCAAGCCAAACACCGACACGCACAGAAATTCCTAGAGGCATGGTTCTTAATCCATAATGCAATCAACAAACGTATAGAATTGGACCCCATACAGAACAGAGCCAGAAATGAGACAACTCACCATAACAGACCGGACAGTATAAATTCCAAGTGGAGTAGAACAACATCGCTTCATCAGAGGCCTCACTGATGACGTCACCTAGCATGGTGATGAAATGTCTGAACAAAAACATGCCAGCTCGGCAAGCATGTCAATAACCTCACTGTTATACTATGTATTTGGAATAGTTTTATGTCAGCTTAATGAAAGCGGTCCCTACTTCTTGCTATTTGCTTTCTACAATAAAACAGATTTCTTTTGTGATGGTGATTATTCTTCTATTAGTTGGAGGGCTGGTAGGTGTGAGTGTGTGTGTGAACCAATTGCTGTTTCATAGGTGTTCTTTTTAATTCTGGGTAGTAGCTCACTTTGCTGTGCATATGGTCACATTTCAATTCCACAGCAAACAAAGGCTCATGACGCTGAGTAGAAGAAATATATCCTGAGGAAAACTTGTTCACCTATCCTCAGTGGGCTGCAGGACTCTGTCCCATTAGATTGAGCAGCATGATAAATTGTCAATCTTCGTGACCACTGGAGCAATGTAGTGTTTACTCTGACTGGTCTGAGCTGCTGGTGCTATCTCTGTTAGGGAGGTTTGGGAAAGGTCAGTCTGTTTCTGACAACCTTAAAGCAACAAGCAGCTAAATTTTTTGAAAAGTGTGTCCGGTATGATTAATGCCAGCTATTGATATTTAACACTCTTGCAAAATACTTTATAGTCAGTTATTTTCTTCTTGCAGTGTTCCCTTTGAATTGCCACTTCATTTAGAGAGGCTCAAACAGCAAGCAAATGATGCCTTCTCCCGACAACAATGGACACAGGCCATCCAACTTTACAGCAAAGCCATTCAACAAGCACCTGGGAACCCCATGCTTTATGGCAACCGAGCAGCAGCCTTCATGAAGCGCAAGTGGTAAGGATTGTTCTCGCCCTAGTGATAGAGTTGTCTTTGTAGCCTGTATATTGTCAGTTTTACCATGTATGCCTATTGTGTTTTTTATTTGCCCCTACATGCTTTTACTAAACCTCCACTGTGGTGGAATCTATTACCTGTTTAATATTTTCACAAACTGGAACTCTGCAAATATGAAAGCGAGTGTGGTTCAATTTCAAACTGGCAAAACGTTCCAATCTAGGGTAGAATGGGCCCCAAGTGAAAATAGGAGTAAACATTGGGAAGGATTTCAAGACATTGGTCAAAGTGAGAGTTAATTATGTGGGCTTTGTTCGCTACCTTCCAATGTGGCAAGATGGGAAGGAGCTATATAATCCTCTTGGGCAGCCCTTCAGGATTGAGGGTGACATGTTTCCATTTCAATTTTCTGGATTCTGAGACGGTTAATAAGACCAGTTCGCACTTTGCATACTCTGCACATCTGGGTCAGGTGGTGCTTGGAGGCATATGAAACAAGTTGCTGGAAATGTTTGATTGCTTCAAGGATATTTTACGGACATCTTTAAAGTACTGTTGTCCTCCTGTGAGTCATCTTGCACGTCTGAATTCGGAGTAGAGCAATTGCTTCAATAGTCTGGTGTCAGGCATACAAATCATGTGTCCTGCCCAGTGGATAAAACGTGGAGCTGGAGGAGCACAGCAGGTCAGACAGCATCTGAGGAACAGGAAAGTCTACGTTTCAAGTCTGGAACCTTCAAGATCCAGACCTGAAGTGTCAATTTTCCTGTTCCTCAGATGCTGTCTGACCTGCTGCGCTCCTCCAGCTCCACATTTTATGGACCCCGACTTCCGGCATCTGCAGTCCTCTCCATCTCCTGCCCAGTGGAGCTGGTTTTAAATGATCTTGACACCGAATAGGCGAGGATGCTGCTGTTGGACTGTCTTCTTGCCATGTGAATTGGAAAATCTTGTGAAGGCACTGCTGATGCTACTTCTCCAGTGTTTTCTAATGCCTGCTGTTGGTTGTACTTGTCTCTAAAATATATACAAATGTGGGAAGCACTGATGTCCAATAAATTGTGAGCTTGGTCTCAAGCTTAAGATCCTGGGCCTCAAATACCTTTTTCTTACATTGGCTGAAGGCTGACCTGGCATATTGATGAAATTCATCATCGCCTCCATGTCTGTCTGCATTTGCTGAGTGGTATGGAAAATAGTGCACATTTTCAAGGATCTTAAGTTTGATCTTTAATTAATGAGGGAAAGTGTGGTGTTAAGGGAGCCTGTTCAAAGAAGCCCTGTTTCTAAGTTTTTAGTAAAAAGTCCATATTCTTGAATACTTTGGAGAAAGTGTCACCTGCATAGTGGAGCTGCAGTAATTTAAGTTTTAGTTTGAAGGCAGTGTGGATTGGAGAGATTCCCATCTGTTGTGTGGATTATTTCCAGACTTGCGGGTAATTTGCTGAAAATGAGGTGGAATATGACATGGGAACAGCGGTAGGACATTCAGCACCTCAAGCCTGTTCCACTATTCAGTGAGATCATGACCGATCTGTGGCCTAATTCCATACACCTATCTTTGGACCATATCCTTTAATACATGTGCTTAACAAAAATTCATTTCTAAGGTTTAAATTTAACAACTGATCCTGCATCCACTGCCATTTGTGGAATAGCGTTCCAAATGCCTCCCACTCTTTGTGCATAGTGCTTCCTAACATCTCTCCTGAATGGGCTGCCCTAGCTCTCAGACTGTGCTCCCTAGTTCTAGAATCCACAACCAGTGGAAATAGTTTCTTTGTCTTCCGCCTCTGTTTTGCTTTTTTTCCTGTTTAATATGTGTGATTGTTGTGAGGAAGGTGGAGAATAGAGTTGATGCAGTAACAACAGGGTTGGTATCGTGGTGCCTTTAACTTCCCCAATGTTGACTGGGACTCCCTTAGAGCAAGAGGCTTAGATGGGCAGATTTTAAGTGCAACCAAGAGGGTTTCTTGAAACAGTATGTGGATAGTACAACTAGAGGATGGGCCATACTGAACCTTGTATTGTCTAATGAGCCTGGCCAGGTGACTGACCTTTCAGTGAGAGCATTTTGGAAACAGTGATCACAACTCAAGTTTTAAGACAGCTATGAATAAGGATAATTCAGGACCTTGTAGGATGGTACTAAATTGGGGAAGGGCAAATTACATCAGTATTAGGCAGAGGCTAGGGAGTGTTAATTTGGAGGAACTGTTATTGGGTAAGTCCACATTTGATACGTGGGAGTTGTTTAAAGACCCGATGAGAGTTCAGCACCAGCATGTTCCAGTAAGGAGGAAGGACAAGGATGGCAAGGTAAGGGACCATTGGATAACGAAGGACGTTGTGAATTTAGTGAAAAGGAGAAAAGAATATATAAGGTTTAGGAAGCTAAAATTAGACTGGGCCCATGAGGAATATAAAGAAAACGGGAAAGAATTCAAGCTGGGAATTAGGAAAGCAAGAAGGGGCCATGAAATGACCTTGGCAAGGAGGGTAAAGGGAATCCCAAGGCATTCTGTACATACGTTGAAAACAAGAGGATAACTCGGGAGAAGGGAGGACCACTCCATGATAAAGGAAGGAATTTGTGCTTGAAGGCAGGGGATGTGGGTGATCCCAAATGGGTAGTTTGTCTCGCTATTCACTCAGGAGAAGGATATGGAGGATAGTGCTAGTGTGGAGGATGCAAATATGCTAGGGCATTTTGAGATCAAGAAAGAAGTGGTGTTGGGTCTCTGGAAGAGCATGAAGGTGGATAAGTTGCCAGGGCCCGATGGTAACCACCCCAAGATATTGAGAGAGGCAAGAAGAGATTGCTGGAGCCTTGATAAATATCTTTGTATCCTCGCTAGCCACTGGAGAGGTCCCAGAAGACTGAAAATAGCTAATGTTGTTTGCCTGTTGAAGGAAAATAAGGATAATCCAGGAAAGTATAGACCAGGTAGCCTCAGATTGGTGGTTGGGAATCGATTGGAGAGAATTCTCAGGATTTGTGTGCATTTGGAAAAGCATGGCTTTGTACAGGGCAGGTCATGTCTTATTAACTTGATTGATCACCTTCATCACCTCAAAATTCAATGAGGGTAGAGCAGGGTCTGCATGGATTTTAGTAAGGCTTTCGACAAGTTCCCTCATGGTAGGCTCATCCACAAGATCAGGGGATCCTCTGTGACCTCGCCAGTTGGATTTAGAATTGGCTTGCCCATTTAAGGCAAAGGTTAGTGATGGAAGGGTGTTTTTCTGGCTGGAGATCTGTGACTAGTTGTGTTCCACTGTTTGTGATGTATATGAATGACTTGAATGAAAATGTAAATGGTAGGTTAGTAAATTTGCAGATGACACAAAGATCGGTAGAGTGTGAATAGTGTAGAAAGTTTTCCAAAGGATACAGCAGGATATGGATTAGTTGCAGGTATGGGCAGAGAAATGGCAGATGGAGTTTAATCCAGGTGAGTGTGAGGTACTATTTTGGGAGATCAAATGTTAGGGAAAAGTGTACAGTTAATGGCAGGATCCTGAACAGCATTGATGTACAGAAGGATCTTGGAGTTCAAGTCCATAGCTCCCTGCAGGCGGTCACACAAGTAGATAGGGTGGTAAAGAAGACCTATGGCATGCTTGCCTTTATTGGTGGGGGAATTGAGTGCAAGAGTCAGGATTTCATGTTGCAGCTTTATAAGATTTGGTCGTGGGCTGAAGGGCCCGTTCTTGTGCTGTACTGTTTTATTTCTATGATAACAGCTTTGTTTGACCCCAATTTTCACTCAGATGGAGTTTGTGCTTGTTCCATTTGGAAGGACCACAGTTTGAGTTTCATTTGTGGAGTAGGCAGAATTTGGTGACAAGTTTGAAGTCAGACAAATTGAAGGAGATTGTTCCATAATCTTTCTTAGTTGACACAGTCAAAGGCTACAAAAGTTTTTAGAGTTAATGAATGATAGTGAATAACCATTATGTCCTCGCTGTTCTTTCCACAAAGCTTGAGTAGAAAGACAAGGTAAGGAAGGTGCTAAATAAACCAGAGTTTTAAGATCATTGAGTGCAAGTAGAAGCTATATTTTATTAGTAGTATCCTCAGCAGAGTCACAGCCTGGCTGTTGTTTTGTTAAACCACTCCTCATCCATCCAGAATCTAATATAACTGCTATCTAATGCCTATGATTTCAAACATTCTTAATCTCGGGGGGGAAAATAATTTAAAAACCCCTTACATCAGTGGTTATCAAATTGTTTAAAAAAACCAACATTTAAGCTTTTGTTTTGAAGTTTAAAATGTATTTTTTCAGAGGTTATTTGTTAGCAATAGTCTCTGACTGAGACCTGAAGATTACATTTACATTAGCAGATGTTTGCTGCCTAAGGTGACTGGTAGTGATTATGATACCAGGGTTAAATCCCACCATGGAAAAGCTAAAATTTACATTCAGTAAATCTGTTAATCTGAGAGTTGGCACCAAGAAAATTGCCATGTAAATTGTTGAATTTCTGTAAAATTCTAACCTGTTCACCAGTATTCCTCGAGGAAGGGAATCTGGCCAGCCTTGCCTATGTGTAACTCTATCCCCTGCTACATTGCTGACTGTTAATGTGATTGATTAGCAAGTCACTCAAACAATTTTGTAATCTTGTCAAATCTGAAAAATAATGCATAATGAAAACATTTAGTCATGTGATTCAATGCACAGCAGCCTGGTAGATATTGAGTAATTAATCAGTCATTTCTAGTCTGCAGTCAGTCAGTTTCAAACAATACAACAGTATATTAGGAAAACTGCCATTGGTGAAGCAATTTTTATCAATTACATTTGGCGCTTCTAAGCACCCAATGACCCTAAAATCACAGTAGTTTAAATATTGAAATGTCTTTATTTGTGGCTGATTCTATGTATGCAGATCTCTCATTAACTTCATGAGAATTTTAACAGCAAAATATTTACAATCACTTGTGTTCTCTTAAATGCACTTGTTTTTGGTTTAGCTTTCTCTGGCTATTTTGAATCATTAGATCTGATCAACATTTATGATGACTAGAACATCAAGGTAGGCTAGCTACTCAGTAACTTTGACACTGTGACCTCTGGTTTATTGATTCCAGTGTCCAATTTGTCTTTTTTTCTTTTTCAGGGATGGAGACCATTATGATGCCCTCAGAGACTGCTTGAAAGCAATTTCTTTGAATCCCTCTCACCTGAAGGCCCACTTCCGCTTGGCACGCTGTTTGTTCGAGTTGAAATATGTTACTGAGGCTCTGGAGTGCCTCGATGACTTTAAGGGCCGCTTTCCTGAACAAGCCCACAGCAGTGCCTGTGATGCATTGGACCGAGATATCAAGGCTGTGCTCTTTGCAAAGACAGACACCTGTGAGTTTTGACAATTTGTCTTTTTGTTCTTAAACTTCATTTTTGAATATTAGGGGATAAAAGAATACTACAAAGAGTGTCAAACTGTAATTGTAAAAATAAAATCCCACCAGCCACTTATGGAGAAGTAGATACTGTACGAGTGGCAGCACAAACTCTACTAACCTGGGTTTACTGGCACCAATTACCAGCTTCTAGGTATGGGGTGAAGACCTCAGATACCTAGAATATGTTGCATAAAACTGCACTGTTCGAGCATACAAACAGGCCATTCATAACAATTCATTCAGTGTTTACCTGCCTATTCTAATCTCAATTTTTTTTCTCAATCCCCATTTCCTTCAATATCCCACCAAGTCTAATCCTACTCTCTAGCACTCTTCTTTTTTAAAGTCTTATTATGTTCCAAAATGTATTACCTCCTGTTTTACTAAATTGAGCTGCTTCTGCCGCCTATCTTTATCCTCCTATAGATTTTTCACTATCTATCAGAATTTGCCAGACAACAATAAAATTTATTTAGTAAAGTGGATTTTGAGATCATTTTTAATTGGTGGAGAGAGAATTAGAGAAAAGGAAGGAGTTCAGCAGACAAGACTCAGCACTCTCTACAACCAACCAGTAAAGGGGTGGGCGATCAGAGGGTGAAAGATTGCATGGAAGTACAAGAGCAGAAGCTCTCATATGGTGGGAGAGGCCGTGGAGAGGAGGACAGGATTTTAAGTTTAAAACATTGGAAAGCAAAATTCCACTTGGCCAGAGGATTGGAGGGTAGCTAATATGGTACCATTTATTCAAGGGTAGTAGGGATAAACCTGGGAACTACAGGGCTGGGCTGGGAGAGTAGCCTGTAAACTTCTGGGGAAGGGTGACTGGACCCAAACCATTAACTCTGATTTTTCTTCACAAATGTTTGCCAGACTCGCTGAGCTTTTCCAGCAACTTCTGTTTATGAGCCTGTAAACTTTGAGAGTGACTAACGCCACAGCTGCTCCTCCATTGATGCTGAACAGGAGCTTGTACAATTGGTTTCCAAGGAGACATAGGGCAGCTGTAGCTGTTAGCCTCCTGTTATTAGCTGTACCTACAACATCAATAAAAGGTCAATTTTATTTGGCTAGGTACCCTAATAGTACCAGGCCTGGAGAGCGGGCCATGGAGACTTCAACTTTAGAAAGTTCACTTTATTCAACCACTGTTTGAATTGAGTTACTGTTTTTATTCCCTGGTTTTACAGCTGATGAGAAGAAAGCAGGAACAACCACCCCAATCCGCATCCGGTCAAGCGGCAGGAAAGATTCTATCTCTGATGATGAAGTGATTCTGAGGGAACGAGGTTATGATTACAAGTCACGGTATTGTGGTCACTGTAATACCACCACGGATATTAAAGAAGCCAACTTCTTTGGGAGGTAATTTCCTAATTTACTCTAAGGCAGTAAGGTGTTTAAAACTCTTAAACCATTTGGAGTGTATACAGAAATCAATTTCTGAAAATGTTGCAGCAAAAAAGTGACTTAAAAGGACTGAAATTTATTTAGAGCCCTATTGTACCTCTAGCTGCAGGTAAAGGTCTAAACTCAGTAAACATTAGGGAAAGGGATATATTTCTGAGGTTACTACTTCTTAGCAATATTTGTATCCTTCTACCCAGAGTTTGCTGTCATATTCTAACCCATGCCTTTGAAACCTCCAAATTGGGCTAACCTGTTGGGCATATGGCCCTGCACCCTCCAAGAATTTGAACTCATTCAGAACTCTGTCTATATCCGAACTCTCCAAGACCTGTTTACTCATCACCAATACTTGACGTAAATTGGATCAGAATTCTCAATCTTGTGTTCAAGCTCCCCCATAACTTTGGTGTTTTCTTTCTCTGTGATCTCCTTTTAGACATACAACTCTCCGTGGAATGTGTTGATAGTCTACTCAAGTGGCTTTGTATGAACATCATAGTTATCTGGATGGGACTCTGAATTGAGCTTCGTTCTGACCTTTATATGCTGCATTTTGCTTCACGATTCATTGGCTAATAATTGTTCATCTTTGACCCAGTCATTGAAAACACTAATTGTTTTTAGTGCTGAACCAGTGATAGTGAATCAGAGTATTTACTATCTGAAACTTTATCCTGGGATGGGAAAGATTGTCCTTGGTGAATAAAAGGGATGAGCATATTTAAAAGGTAGTCTGGCTGACTAGCTAAAATTGTTTGATTTTTGTGACACATTCCCTGGAATGAATTTTTCTTGCCTTTCAGTAACGGCCAATACATTGTCAGTGGTTCTGATGATGGATCCTTCTTCATCTGGGAGAAAGAGACAACAAACCTTGTTCGTGTTCTGCAGGGTGATGAATCGATTGTAAACTGTCTGCAACCCCACCCGAAGCACTGCTTCCTTGCAACGAGTGGTATTGATCCTGTGGTTCGCCTCTGGAGCCCACGACCAGAAGTATGACCTCTGACTGTGACAGTAGACCCTGTAGTAATTGTCCAAATAGGAGGGAACAAGAGCTAGCTGTTGATCCAATACTAACCCAGCTAACACCAACCAGTTCTTTGGATGGTTGTGATGAAATTTGTAATTGTAGGGGAATCCAAAACTATGGGTCATAAATATAAGACAGTCATTAAATTCAGTAATAAATTCCTTTCCCTTGCTATTGAGCAGTTGAGGCAAGTAGCATCGATAGATTACTGGGATTGTGTGTGTGTGTGTGTGTGTGTGTGTGTGCGCGCGCAGGCATACATTAGTTCAGCTTATTAGGCCTCTGTTATAAATTCTATGTATTATATGAAAGCAAAATTCTAAATGATTGTACAGCAACTTAGGAAGGCCATTGTGTTATATAGATTTGGCTTTTAATTTGTACTGGATGAGCAAAAGTATCCTCCAACTAAACTTTAGGAAGACTGAAACCATTGTCCTGGTCCCTACTGCATGCTCTACTCTCTAATCAATAACTCCATCTCTCTTCCTGATAATTATGTGAAGCTGAACCAGGCTATTCACAACCTTAGCATTGTATGTGGCCTTGAGGTGACTTCCTAACCAACATATCTGTGCCATTATGAAGACATTTTTCATCTCTGCTGCCACCTGTCCCTGACCAACTTTAGATCATTGCTGCGTGCCTTTGTTACCTATAAGTTTGACCACTTTGACACAATCGTAGCCAGCCTCCCACAGTTTTACTCTCCATAAACCTAGGTCATCCAAAATGATGTTGCCCATGTCTTAACTCACCAAGTCCCAAGCACCCATTATACATGTTTGCTGATTTACATAACAACACTTTTACACTTCAAAATTCTGATCCTTGTTTTCAAATTCCTCCATGGCCTACTCCTTCGTATCTCCATTATCTCCCCCATCCCAAGTTTAATTGCTTGATTGTTGGTAGATATGAATTCACCTGCCAAGGCCCTGAGCAGTTAAATTCCCTTCCTAAAACCTTGTCTCTCTCCCCTTCTTTAAAATGCTACTTAAAACCTACTTCTTTGATCAAACTTTTGGTTATCTGCTGCAAAATTTCATGTGGCTTGATATCATTGGACGCTCCTGTGAAGCACACTGAGACATTTTATTATGTTAATGGCATCATTATAAATAAAAGTTGTTTTGAGTGAAGCGAGTGGAAATAACGAAGACTTCACAAACCAATTTGGTGTCAATGGGAATCCACAAACAGGAAAGCAGGGCAGCACAGTGACTCAGTAGTTAGCACTGCTGCCTCACAGCACCAGAGACCTGGGTTTGATTCCACCATTGTGTGACTGTCTGTGTGGAGTGTGCACATTCTCTCCATGTCTGCGTGGGTTTCCTCCCACAGTCCAAAGGTGTGTGGGTTAGGTGGATTGGCCATGCTAAATTGCCCCATAGTTTCCACGGATGTGCAGGCTAGATAGATTAGCCATGGGAAGTGCAGAGTTACGGGGATAGGGAGAGTCACTGGACTCAATGGGCCAAATAGCTTGCTTCCACTGTATGGATTCTATGAGAAGCCATGGAGAGGTAGTACACTAAATGTGCTTTATTGAAATTAAACCTAAGCTTTGATTTTTAACTTGTGTAACTGTAGTTAATGGGAGATTGGGTCACTGGTCAGGTTTTGGTATTGGAATTCTTTAACCCAAATGAGTGTGCAAAGGAAGATAATTGTTCTCACACAACTTAAACTATCAAGGATTGAGGTAAGAGACAGGAACTTCTGAAAAGGTAGTTGTAACACGGAAGAGGCTGTTGGATAAACTGACTAATGTTATGCACAGGTAGCAAATTTTAAAATAAAACAAACTTAATGGCAGCAAATGAACCTTGCTTGGAGCACTGCATTGTATCATCAGTGCTGTACTCTCCTGCTCCAATGCTGAACTTAAGCGTTAGACAGGATCTAATCCACTATCTGGAGGAGCTGATGCTGATGGATATTTTTTTCTTCCGCAGAGTGAAGATCAAAATGAGCGAGTAATTGAAGACATGGAGGGAGCTTCACAGGCAAATCAGCGGCGAATGAATGCAGACCCCCTTGAAGTTATGCTCCTAAATATGGGATACAGGATCACTGGACTAACCAACAGTGGGATGGCTTCAGATGATGAGGAAAACTCTGAAGGCCAGGTGCAGTGCCGGCCAAGCTAAATAGCATCCCAGCAGTAGCGTACTTGGGACAGACCAGGGAACAACTCTCATTTCAGAGTGTACGTGGCTGAAAACACTGCACTGTCCTCAGCTACGCACCAAAAGCTTTGTTCAGGAAGCAGTGACAGGGTTTGCATTCTTTCCAACATCCATCAGACTCATTTATGGACGAGCCCTATTCCGTCTGCAAAAGTCTGAGAGCGATGCTGCTACCCTCTCAGGAACAGCTAACTGGGCCAAACCTGGCCTGGGACGCATACAAGAGACTTCATGTTGTTTCTGGTGGTTGAAAAAGACTCATTTGATAAGCAGATCTTTTTGTAAATTGTCTAGATGCTGCTTTCAGTTTGTATAAATGCTTCCTCCTCTATCACATTCAGTCCCTTTTGTAGTAATGGATTCTGCACAATCCGTTAGAAAAACACAGGCCAATAATATTGAGGTAAACTGCACTCCCTTCGTAGCTCTGAAGCCTTTAGAGCTGCAGGGCATCCTGATGCAGCCTTCATTGCAGACATGAGAGAGTCATGAATGGTAGTCAGTATCATACTTGAGTTCCTCTGCTGCTTTTGGCCCAGTTTGCAATGTGCATACAGAATATGTAGCTACACAACTTGACTTGAGGATTGCTGCATCATGATTGGGGGTTATAAGAATGTGAGCATATGGGATGAATTCACAATGTACATGCAACAAAGTGACTGACCGTGGTGAAGTATGGGAGGTGTGTCAGAACTACCCTAACATTGTATGTGAACAGCCTGGCAATTGGTTGTTGGGGAGGGGGTGCTGTTGTGCCTACATCCATCTGTCTCTTGTACTACCTAGCTGTGTTCTGTCTGGTTTTCTACCCCAGTCTTGGCATTCTATCCACTTCCTCGTGAAAGAGACTGCTTCAAATTCAACTCTCTAAGCACTGATTCTGTGAACAGTTTTGCAGCCTGTTCACAGCCTCTGGTGTTTGCAACATATGATACTGCCCTCTCCTGGAATGCACTTTTCATGGGTGTCCCCAAAACTCTGCATTGTAATACCAAGCTCCAGGCCCTTGAGAACTTGGGATCAAATATTCCATTTGCAGACCTGATTTAATTAGAATGGTGGTGGGGTGGGGGAGGATTTAAGCATCTTGTTTCTTCTGCTGGCTGCTGCTTTTTGATTTCTGTTTCAATGTGTGAGTGAATTTAAGTATTGAGCTGTCAGCTTTGAGAAGAAGTGTCATCAGTAAAGCTTGGGAAGGGATGTTTGATTTAGTTCTCATTCTGATGACTAATTTGCTGTTAATGCTATCAGATTTTGTTGGACATTCAAGTAGAAGCTGTAGCGTATATTGAAGAGAATGTTTGTTTCAGTTCTGGGTAAATTGGGCAACTGTGTGAAAGGTAGGTAAGGGGAGGGGAGCAAGCTTTTGCAGTAGGTGCTATTTGAAACCAACACCAAACTGCAGCTATTCTGTTGTAGCACATGATCCAAGAAATATTAGCAAGCAGAAATGGAGTGCACACCCTGACTGGCAGATTGGGTCAGCACGCAGTTACTCTACCTCTGGAACCGAGTGAGATCTAACGAAAAGAGTATATAGAGTTTCAGGAGGCTCCACTCAGTGAGCAGAAATCTGTTATCTGAATGAAAGTGTCCACAAAGATGGCAGATGTGGGAAGTGACGTGTTTTAATGACATGGCAAGGGATAATATTCTGTGGTGGTGTGTGTGTTTAAAGGGATGCTGTTTTAAAAGGGCACGGTATAAAGAGGCTTTGATGTATATAGCAAGAAGTGGGGAATAAGGTGCTGTGCATTGACATTTGTGACAAATGATACCTAAGTGTGTATGCACTGTTAAAGAGATAATTTTAATCACCATTGACCAGTTCACTTCCTGGACAAAGATTGATTGCATACAGAGGCCCCTGTGCTCCAAGTTCTATTTGTTGTTTTTTTTTTTAAAAGGCATGTCCATTTACATCACACTGAATTGAAGGCGAGTTTGTGTAATAGTGGTCACTTGGAATGATTTGATCATCTTTTTATTTTGATAGTCAGTTATTTGCTACTTCCATCAAAAAGCAATAGCATCATTGGCTGCAGTCTGCAAAGCTGTTAAAAATTCCTTTGCCTATTCAGTAAAAACTAAACATGACTTGTTCAGTTGCTGATCATCTGGGAGTGCCCTAGCAGTTATTGTCCAGGGGTATGCTGTGGCCACCTGATCATTGAAACTAGTGATCAGTTTCTGAGAGTGAGCTGCTGAGTATTTGCATTCACATGTTTCCTGAAATCTTCCCTTAGGGCTGTAGGGTTAGGATTCAATCAGTAGGTGACCAACAGGAGAATGAAGGTCTAATCCCAAATCAGAGACTATGGTAGAGAAGCAGTCTTGATTGAAGTTTTGCTGGAATTCATGTTTTATTACCAGCCACTCCCACCAACAGCTGTTATGTCTGTGACTACATTGTTAAATTATATTTCTAAGTATAATTTAGGTTTTGATGGGATTGTTGCTTGTTTGCAATTGTTTGAAAGCCTTGGTCTGAAGCTCTAACTCCATGTGGTCAGTGTGTTAAATGGAAAAGTAGACCACCAATGGATGGAGTAGGTGGATGGGTTTAGTCAGTGTACTAAATAGTGCTCTGCATTAATAGTCTTCCCACTCCTCCCACTCAATCCATGAGCTCAGTGCCAATTGTGTGTTTAAACCTCACTCAGTTTGTTGCTCCTATCCTCGTCTGTGATTTGATGAGGAATTATCCGTGGGAAGCTGCTAACTGTAAAAATAAATAAATAAATAAATAAAAATTGTTAATCCACGGTTGTGATGAGTTTAAAGCCAGCATTAAATGGCAAGTTTAGCAGAATGCTGTTTGGTTTGGTTGCTAAGAATTCATACTTGTATAGGGCCTGCTGCTTTAAGTTTGTAGTTATTCCCAATGTACATTAGTGCAATAAAAACACAAACTGCAGTAATGTGCTTGCAATCAAATACTAAATGTGCTGCACTCTCTCTAACTGCCACATCTGTGCATAAACAATGCCACTCACCTGTGCACACTTCAGGTTGGCTGAAAGTAATGGGTTTGAGTCCTATTCTCCAGAGTATGAAATCCAGACTGACACTCTACTGCAGATGTGATGCTAACAGGAAGGCCCACCTACTTCGTCAACTTTATGTAAAAATAAAATTATGGTTCCTAGTGGAAGAACATAGGCCTTCCATAACCATCATTAAAATAGAATTACTAGGTTATTTATTGCTTTACTTAATCTTGGTGTATGTAGTGGCTGAATTTCCTTACATCAAATGTTGTGCATGGGTTGAGGAGAGTTTGGGTCGTTGAGGACACACTCCCGATTTAAAAGTCTGTCTTTTCTACTTTTAAATCCGATTCTTTATGGACAGGTTTTATTCAGATGAGTGAGCAGAGCGGTGGAAGTAAACGGTGATTAGCAGATCAATTGAAACATCAGTCGGTTCTGTAAAAATACTTGCTTTCTCTAATTGAGCTGGTGAATGTTTTGACTCGACTGGAAATATCGATTTTAAAAGAGCTGAGTGTTGATGCCAGGCTCTTGTGATTAATGTTAGTTTTATAGGTAGCGGTTAATATAATGAATGTGTCTAGGTGTGTAAGCTGTGGCTTTGGGCCCTTGAAACCTAATCAGTACAAACTGCAGCATAATCCCATGCGGAAAGAGCAAGTATCACCTGCTGTACGGAACAGATTACATAAAACAAACATGTTTTTAAAGTGACACCATACATTGTCTATTTCACCCTTCAATCTTTTATTAGTCCAGTAGCACAATGAAGATTGCGACTTGTTAACATATTGACAGATTGGATAGGTGCAGGTGGAGCGCTATTGACCAATTGAGAAACCAAGAGCGTCCTGGAGGCACTAGGAACCTATTTTGTTTAGAGGTCAATGTTGTATCAGCGTACTGCTGCTCTTTGCGACTTTCAGGACTGCAGACAATTCTCAATTACATCCGACGCATCTTTGTGTGCTGAGGGAATGGGCATTTGACTAGCAATTTGTACTGATACGGGTGAATATAGCGCATATTGAACTACTTTTAGGGAAAACATTACAGCAGTGAGGTAAATCCGGCTGCAAGCTGATGCCGTAGCTGTTTTTTTGTGTGTGAACGAAACGCTGGTTTGTGATATTAGATTTCCTACGCGAGTACGAAAGGCTCTGAAGCTACCATCCCACGAAAGTCGAAGACAGTACAAACATTCCCAGGTTGTACAGTAGAGTAAAGCCCTCTAGCCTGAGTTAAATAAATATTTATTTTAATTTCATATACATTCTGAGTGAAAGAAGATGCGAGGACCAAGGAAATTACACGACAGACCTGCGGCTCCTGGCCGATTGGCCCGTCTCCTGCACCTCCTCATTTTCTGGTCCAGGGGACGCAGCCGCGGAGCCTGAAGGCGGCGGCCACCATTAGCGGCGCCCGGTGTGCTCGGAATTTGAGGCGGGTTTTGATGCTCTGGCTGCGGGCGCTGAGTCCAATTTCTCCCTGCTGGGCACCGCTGCGGATCCGGTTGACCAGCTCCCCGTGTTCCACGGCCTCCTGCTCGGCCCGGACCAAGATATCGCGCAGCTGCTGCAAGCTGATCTCCAGCTCCCGGACCCGGCGTTGCCGCTGCTCCATCTCTAGCAGCCTCCTCCGGGCTTCCGCCAACTCCAGGCTGCTGCTCGGTGTCAGGGCCCGGGACACCGGCTCACTGTCCGGTCCCCGCTGCTCCTTCTCCTGCACCCCGCTTGCGGCCGGCGGCGGACTCGTGGACGCTTTTTCCGACACTTTGTCCCGGAGTTTCCCCATTGCCGTCTCCGTAGCCCAGCTCGGTCCGCGGGGGAATGGGCGGGGCTACCCACAGGGGGGGCGGTAACCACCGGCGGTGTTCCTTGTAGGCGTGTCCATTTAAGGGGCGGAGCTTCCATTGCATGGGCCCTTATCAGTAAGGGCGGGGCTCCTTCAGGGGCGGTGAGACCAGAAGGCGGGGCTTGTGTGACGTAAGCTAGTGGGTGGGGATTCCTTGCGGTGGGCGGGGTTAAATTTGGGGCGTGCCTTTACGGTGGGTGGGGAACGGGAATGTCATCTCGACTCGAAACGTCAGCTTGTGCCCTCCTCGTGGATGCTGCCTGATGTGCTGTGATCTCCAGCATTTGTTGTTTTCAGTACGGATTCCAGCATCTGCAATAATTTGTTCCTAATGAGAGGGAAATACTCAATGTGGGCGCTAACAGGCGGAGGGGCTGGAATTCTACCTGTGACCTTTAATGCGCGCTTCACAAATTCAGGATAAAAACCAAAAGAACTGCGGATGCTGTAAATCAGGAACAAAAACGAAGTTGCTGGAAAAGCTCAGCAGGTCTGGCAGCATCTGTGGAGGAGAAAACAGAGTTAACGTTTCGGGTCCGGTGACCCTTCCTCAGAGCAAATTCAGGATGTTGAAGAGGACAGAGAAAACGTTTCAAGGACACCTCATTGAAAAGTGGTCTCGTTTGCAGCAGAACCTGCCATGTCGGGGTACCTTATTCAAGAAGGTACATCCTGACCACAGCACGTTCTGCTGTGTGTGCAGTAGCCATACCCATTGAAGCAATGTGAGCGTCTCCTGAAGGTATTTGAGGAGAAAGGAGGTGAGAGTCCCCTCGCCATCCTGTGTGACACCAGTTGTGTTCTCCCTGCACTGAGGAGCCAGATTGTTACAATTCATGTATACAATTCCCACAACCCAGCAGCAGATGTCCTGACCTTCCTGGGAAGGTATGTATAGCTTGATGTAGTGGACCCCTTTGGAATCTGGACCAACAAGTGGCGGGGTCAAAGTAATGCTAAAGGCAGAAGCAAGTGGGAACATCCTCAAACTGCCCTCCACCTTTGCGAACAGAGGGAGCCGAGGCTACCTGACGAATGCAGGACAGTCTAGAGTGCGCCAAACTTGCAGGAGGTCAGGGCACATGGCAGCAGACTGCAAAGTGACCCTCCCCAGGAACTGCAAACAGGGGGAGCACCTGACTAAGGGCTGCAAGGAGTCTAAGAGCTGCAACCTGTGTGGGGAAGCAGGCTTGGCTAAGATGGAGGTTGTCACATATGCTGAGATGGCCAGAAGTAGCAACGTGAGCCGTGGACCCCTAAAGGTCAGTAAGGTACCACCTTTCAGTGAGAAAACTGAAACAAGGGGCACCCAGGCCAGAGAGGAAGAAAAGGTAGCCAACGCAACAGCACAATAACTGACCCAACCTCCACCTGAGCAGACGGAGTCAGTGGAAGAGGAAGAAACGAAGGGGGTGGGGGAATGGATATCAGTGAGAAACAATCCAGAAAAGTATAACATAGTCCCACAGCACAATGGAAAGAGGCAGTTGCATGATGGCGACACCAGCAGCTCCTCTGACAACGAAGATGTGCAGAGGGATGGCCACAACAAAAAAAGGAAGCACAGCACCATGAGGGATAAGCAGAAGGGGCCCTCCCCAACCTGGAAACACTGGAGGTCCCAAGGAACCCAGTGAAACCCAACTTCCAGCCATCGGGAACCAAAGGATACCCACTGCACCACAACCGAGAACAGCAACACTCCGAATCAGGAGCAGGGCATGACAGTCTTTCTGTCGAACTCAGAAATGGACCTTCCTGGTTTCATTCTCAGCCCAAAAACACTGTATCAGGGCAAACCCTCAGAGAAGAACAAGGTTGGCTACCTTAGCACAGTGTCCAACAGTTCTCCCACACCACAGAGATGCAGGGAGTACCCCAGTGACAAGACCACAGGTGAATGGACATTGGACAATCCTATAAACTCTGAAAATGGGTTTTAAAATTGCCAGTATTAACATGTGTAGCATTAAATCTACTACGCGATGTGTCTCCACATTGGCCCCTTCCTGCAGGAGTACAGGATATCGCACCTCAGCAGCTACAGGAAATGGTCAAGCTTATGGACCCACAGGCCTTTGATTTGGTCAGGGGGAAATGATTGCTGTTCCTCCAGCCTGGGTATTCTGCTGTGAGGTGGCAACTTCACCATGTCTGATGTTAAGGAGGTGGTGGGCAGGCACCTCTTAGTAGCAGACGTTTTGTACAGAAACTCTCTCCTGAGACTAATTAACCGTACACCCTGGTGGTAAAGTAAGCGGCTGGCCACCCTGCAGCAGCTCCCACTGCTGCTGGCGATGTCCAGGCTGTTCATTCTCACCAGAGATTTCAACTGCATCATTGATGCAGATGGACAATCTGGAGGGGCTCACAGTGAACTGGATTCCACATCTAGATTCCTGATGGAAACAGTTAAAGTCAACAAGCTGCACGCACCTTCAGCACTGCTGCAGATGGAGCACAGTGTAGATCCATCTGGCCGCAACCAGGTGTATCTATCCACTCAAGGATAGATTTCTTGTTGGTTTCTCACACGTTCTTGGTCACATTCACTGACGTCAAGCCGGTGTTCTTCTCTGACCACTGCCTCCTGCTGGCCACCTGTCACCTACAGAATGACCAATGGGCCAGCAAGGGTATGTGGAAGCTGAATGTGAAACTGTTAATCCCAGAAAACATTGAGGAGCTCAAAAGGGATTTCACAGATTGAAGAACTGTGAAGCCCCTCGTTGAGTCTCCAGCGGACTGTTGGGAAACAGTCAAGGGGAACATCAAGAGGCTCTTTGTCCTCAAAGGTGTTCAGAAGGCAAGAGAGAGAGAGATGGGGAAACTGTCCAAACTCCAGAAAACCATCACCTGCTCTTCATGGAGAATTTTTGAAAACGAAAACACCTTTGACCACAGGTGCATCAG